GGGGGGAGTTGGGAAGAAATGAAATCCTTACCAAAAATCAGTCGTAAACTAAAACATCACCGTTAAGGACCCCCCCCCACCCCCCCCTCCCCTTGTTATTTTTACTGTGTGTGTGTAATGCTAAAATATATCTTCAGATTTTATTTTAAATTTAAATGAAATAAAACCATTCAAGATCCCTGTAGCACTGGAGGACATCCCAAACGCGGCAGATCACTCTCTCTCTCTCTCTCTCTCTCTCTGTGTGTGTGTGTGTGTGTGTGTGTGTTTAAAAAAAATCATATTCTAAATATCATCTTCATTCCGTAACATGCAGTGCCGTTGGGCCACTATGCGGTTGACGGTCTAATCAGCTCCTTGCATATTTGACTCTCAGATGCAAAAGACTTTATGGCTGCATGCCTAAGGCCTGCTTTTTCCAGATCTGTCTCTCCTGTTCCCCTCTACTGAGCACTGTAGTACTGTTTTTGAGAGGTCGTTCTGAGCGATCGTTACTTCTTATTTACTGCAAATAAAACTGCATTTTCCGTCTTTTCACTGTAGTTAACAGAGGTTCTTAGCTACCAATGATGATGAACCTCGTCATTTGTAATGTGGTCTCCGTATAACATGCCAAGAATTTTAGGAAAATCTCACTCCCAATGCCTGTATTTTCTTTTCTAGTTCAGCTGTTGAGGTTGAATTTGGGGCAGACTGAATATTCTAAATATAACCAAACGTACATGTTTACCCCAATTCTGTCATCTATTTCTTTCGGCCACATGACTGCTCACACCAGAAGGGTGGAGTCGCAGAGCGATCTCTCTTCATGTGCCATGAGCGCTACAGTAGACTCTATATGTAGAATACCCAAAAGGGCTAGAGTGAGCTGTCAGCTTTGCCAGAAACAGGCTCTGGTTGCCGTGCTTAATTAGAGCCTCAGTAATTGTCGCTGTGAACAGCGCTGAGTAACACAGCTTCAATTAGGCAAAAGGATCAGTGGCACTAAACAGAGAAGGGCAGAGTAGCCAGAGAGTCAGCAACAGATCTTTTTCACCCCAGTGGTGCATGAGACGTGTGACTACCATCATCATCCTGTTGTGCCGATACGGCTCGAGGGTTTGTAGTTTATTCCCCTATCCCGTTCTTTCCCGTGCAACATATCATAAATACTATCCAGTCCAGAATTTGACCCATCTCATCAACGTTCGCCTCTGGGTTTCCTCTAGACGTCCTCGTTCCTGTAGTCAGTATGTTTCCTATTCACCTATTTGGCGATTATTTACCTCTTCTCAGGATGTGCCCAACATATCACAGTCTTCTTCACCTTTCAACCCTTGATGCCAGCAGGTATATGATGCCAGAGTCGTATTTGTACAGACATCCGCCACCCGAGAGGGCGATGTGGTCAATATAACATGGGTTGTTGCTTTTTTCCTCCCTTGACATTTCGTGGAACCCATTTTAGGTAAACCTGGGAACCAAGGCCTGCTATTAAAACAACTTTCCCCCTTGTTCAAATTCGAGCCCACGACATATATATCTACATGTAAGAGTCACTGCGCCACCACGGCAACCGCGTGCTACTATGACGAAAGCAGCCAGCCACATCACATTTACATTACATGTTTCAACAGATGCCCAGATAGACAGACATAAAACTTTTAAAGATTCTTTAAAATTGTCGATGTAGTGGACGGATGAGGTGCCCTCAAAGGGCACACTCCATGTTTAATTATGGAATAGTAATAATGAAAACAACAATAATAATACGAAAACACCCCTTAACACACATTCAAGAGTTTGTGCTATAAAAATTTAGTGCTAAAAGGGGAAAAACATGTGTTATGAAAAACACAATCTTGCTGTGGCCATAAATTGTTCGCGTTAATCGAGTGTTAGTCTTGAACGTGTTCGTGCTAATTAGGTTTTACTGTACTACTACTACTACCAATAATATTAACAATAATAATATTGTGCTGAATGACAAATAACTGTAATCAAATATTTTAAAATAATACGAAATGTATCAACAAAACCTTAAAAAAAAGCTTCTTTAGCAGTCATTTGATTTGATTCAAGAACCGACATCACGGCACTTGGAGTATTCCCATAAGCGCTCCGTCCCCATCTTCAGCAGCCAGCTAAGAGTTCCGATACTAATGGTGCCAGTAGCATTCTGATTAAATGTCCGTCTTGCCTTTCCTCTGAGTCTCGAGCATTTGCCAGAACCTCTCGTCACTCCCAACTGCATCAATCTCCCCACACTGTGGTGATCAATCTGCTCCTCCGCATTGTACAAGCTCTTCCACAAAGCACTAACCACGTCTGTCTTATCATGCATCAGTATTCCACCAAGCTGTGCAGAGCCAGCCAGTCTGTCCGCCTGTTTATTTTCCAACACACCGGCATACCCTGGTGAAAAAATCCAGACAATACTCCTCACCCGTGTCTTCCGCAACGAGGCATGCCACTCTGCACGAAGCATGCCTGCCCTGATCTTCCTCAAGAAGCAGTGAGGCAATAATAAAGTGACTAATACAGTGGTTTTCAACCATCCCAATACCGTGACCCTTTTCTACAGCTCCCTCATGTTGTGGCGAGCCCTAAACAATTATTATTTTTCTTCATAACTTCAAGGAATATGTGTTTTCCGATGGTCGCAGGCGACCTCCGTGAAAGGGTCATTCGACCCGAAAAAGGGTCACGACAGGCAGATTTAGAACCGCCGGATTAATGGGTTTATTTTTGAAGGGCCAAGAATAGGTTAACAAATGACCACAGAAATGATAAGAGCTGAACGCCTGACACAAAGCACGCTAAATACATGTGATTTTAACAGTGGTCCTAAAATTGTATGCTCTAACTGTGGAAGACTGGGGGAGGGAAGGGGGGGTGGTCTCGGCAGCCTAGCGCTCTGACGAGCGTGGGTTCGTTTGAGAGAGGCGCCGTTTAGTTCAAAGATGCAATTTTGGGGAGATCCCTGAGGATCGTCACCGGAACCACGAAGTTTGTGCTTAATGCGACGCTCTCGGCAGGCGGCTAGTGTGAGCCATAGGAGACAAAACCCGATGCAATAAAGATGATTCTCTCGACTCTAAATCTTAAGCCTTGCTAGTCACCCTCGCCATCGACTGTGATTCCCAGCCTCCCCATGGTACAACATAACAGTCAACTCACGTCTGGAAAAACGGAAAGGTGGCAACGACAAGAATCTGTAGCTTTACATACCCCCCCCCCCTCCCAACAATCATCAATCATTGTTTATACCCCAAACATGTCTGTGTTTCGTCTAGCCTGGTTGCTCTGATATTTACCAAGGCTGAAATGATCATGTCAACTGTCAGGATCTTATGAGCCATAACTAACTATATGACTACTATAAGGCAGGACTATTCAACTGGCGGCCCGCGGAGGCATAGCAAGTGGCCCGCGGATCACTGTCAGTTGTACTTTTTTAATTATCTTTTTATGCTGGGGCTCAGGCCTAAGGCCCGTGACGGTACCCATTACGAAAATTCTGGCCCCTGCGAAAACTGAGTTGAATAGCCCTACCATAAGGCATACTGTGTGTCTCAATGATCAGAGTAAAGCAACAACATTTATGAGCGAATATTTCTAGGCCAGGCCTGCAGAGTAAGCCAGAGAAGTCCTATGCAACGTGTGATGTGTGATAGACTTTTGCACAAGACTTCCAGACATCGCTTAACGTGTTCACCCTATTTTACTATTGGTCATAGCACACTAAAGAAATCTGCTACATCCGCTGCGTAATTTGCCTCTTTGAAATTTGCCTACTTGAAAGTTACACATTTGTGACTTTCTTTTCGTACTCATTCATTCCCCTGGGTTTTTAGAGCTAGAATTCCATGGCTCTGAAAGACTTAATGTAGCCCTATGAATGAGTACTCAAGAATTTGTAAGGAGGTTAAAACGGGTATCTCGGATTGCACGCTATCCCGCCCTGAAAGGGATCCTGCAGTGCTGATTCGATCAAAGGAGACAGATGAAAAAAACTGCCACGACATGCGACGAAGTCGTCTACCGGCGAGCCAATGGGCAACCCGGTCGCCGATATAAATTTTTCATGAATATTTTAGTGCATAAATGGAGAAGGTGAAGAAGACTACCAAATGTATTGGTACACAGATGCCATAAAGTGACAGGATGAGAAAAATCAGGCAACACTCAAAACTAACCATTACTAACAACTAAATTTTGAAGGCTAATTTAGCCACAAATAAATCACGAACAGTTAGCTTCTGCAGGCAAACAAATGCACAAATGAAGCAGAAAAGTCAATAAGAGACTTAAGGGTAACGTTCTTAGGCAGAAATTAATTATACATTTTAGGAAGCTGCCTTGTCTGGAGGTATGGTGTCCGCCTCGAGTGCTAGACTTGGACTTCTAGTAATTTCCCCCTGTCTCTGGGTAGTGAAATCGGACGCCCGTGTGCATTGTTGCACACGTAAAAAAAAAATCCCTTGGCACTAGGAAATTCAAAAGAATATCATAATGGCGCTGCCCGGGCAAAATTTGGAGTTAAAATTCTACCTAAAGTGTTTCAGGATCCTCACCGGTGCTACAGAGCCTGTGCACTGTGCTGAGCTTCTTCGGACTCAGACTTGAGTAAGAAGAAGAACAGAGCACTTATTGGTTACTACCTGTGTGCCATGATGCTGATCCGTTGTTTATACTTCAAACCTCTTAATTTAACACTGGTAAAAGCCACACAAACAAGTGAAATATTTTGGCTGTATGAAAAGGTACATAACTAATACAAACTACTCTGGAAGGCAAAGCCTGAGACAAGCAAACAAGAGGCAGACATCGATACATTTGGGAGGATAATAGCAAGAGATGAATGAGCAGCAGTTCAGGACAGATTCAAAAAGTTTACACGAACACTTTAGAAAGCAATACTCTGCGATGCACTTGTACCACAGTCCAAACAGTACAGAATTTATACCTCAAACCGAAACTGGTTGTAGTACAACAGCTGACTGATAAACAAAACTCACCTGTCCTAGACTGATTGTCAGGTTAACTTGATTCAGTTCAACACCAAGCCGAGACAGCGGAGGACTCTGCCACCATTTTTCAGTCCCATCAATTGCATATTCGGGTCTATGATCTTGATTAGGATTCTCAGGGTTGCAGTAGTCGCAGGACATTCCTTGGATGATCTCCGTAGATGAGCCAAACGTGGTGGTACCGGTCAACCGACAGTAAAGTTCTGGAGGGGGTACCCCGTAACCGCATGTTGCCGACGCAGTTATGTTCCTACCTTGAGCCAAATTGAAATAGGGTGGTGTCAACACTTGAGCAGATATAAATCCCTGCAGTAAAACAAAAATCGCGTACTTGAGGCCCACCGGAGCCGTGTCGCCGGTAGCCATGTTCTCCCTCTGAAAGCACACGACGAACTGAAGCGAAGCAGAAGTCAAACAACACACGGGCCGACTTTCTGCCGTGCCAGCAGAACTAACCAATCAGTCTCCAGCACACCAACCGGCCAGCCAATGAGCTGTGGCGGGATCACTTTCATCTTCAGTTTCCACACTGGACCTGTGAATTTGGAGAAGTGACTAGGCGTGGTTATTATGTTACGGTTTACCTGGGGGTCCAAGGAAATGAGGACCCCCCCCCCCTCCCATTCTGAGGCATAGGAACATGCGGCTTTAAGCATCTTATTTCCGCTCCCTAAAAATAACGGAGATGGAATACGCATCCCAGGGCCGTCCTAACAGATGTGCCCGCTAGGCACTTTCCGGGTGTCCCACGAGCTTAAGGGCCTCATGGTGATCTGTAGGTGTTCAACGACTTGTCAAATAAGAATTTCGTAGTAATTTCATACTTTGCCATTAAATCTGGGTTTATGCTTCAACGCTAGTTTTGTTTTTTGAAGTGCCACTAAAAAAATAACAACAAATATGTTTATATCATCAACCATTCATATTTCATTTACAGTGAGTGGGTGTCGCAGCGGCCCTAGCAAACTGGTTTTTCCGGGGCCCATATAAAGACGGTTTTGATACATCCAACCCCCCACCCCCACCCCCACCCACCACCCTCCCCTTAAGAAAACTGTTAGTGGACTAATCCAGGTTTATTTATATATTTTTCCAAAATATTAATTGTTTGTGTGCCATTCAACAATTATTATTTTATGGTTGTATATAATGTAATTTTTTTAATCACGCACACAAACAAATAAGAAAAACCGGGGTGGGGCCGTGTAAGATAAGCCGGGAAGCTTTCTTCCTTAGGCAAGGATGTTCCTGGGTGAATACTAGCAGCATTGTCAATGGGGGAAAAAACAAAAATGGTTTGTATCTTTTGTCTGTGTTGATGCCCATGTCATTAAAAGATATGTTACTCACTTCATTCTTAGATTTGCCACTGTAGTGTGTTCATCAGTACACCAGAGTGCCAGATCATCTGCATACAGGACAACTTTTACTCCTGTCTTTCACCAGGTCATTGATAAAAACAAGAAAAAGAGCTAGAGAGATAACTCCTCCCTGTTGTACCCCCTGATGAAGCAACATTTTTTTTAGTTCTGCAGGCAGATAAGAGGGACTTAAGTTCTCCTATTGTATAAGAAGGATTGGATCCATCTTAGCGTGTTTCCTTGAATTCCACTCCTCTTCAATTTTGCAATGAAGCAATCTTTCCAGATGTCGTCAAAAGCTTGTTTGAAGACAACCAGCACCGCCAAGATCGTCTACTTCTCTTGTAAGGCATCTTCTACAGCATGTGACCTGTAGGTCACATGGTCCTCTATGCTGTAAAATTCTTCCAGACAATGTTGAAAATTTGAAGTAGCTTTGCTGCAGACCTTTTTAGCATAAGCCTGGAAACGGAATTTTGAAGTTCACCACGGTGAAGGGCTCCATCATAGAGGCAGGAGTATCTGTCTGTCTCTTATTTGTTTGTATTTTTCCCCTTGTTACTCTATGGTGGTCATTATTAAGGTTCCGACTGCTTTCAACACCACATGTTCTGGCAAACAAGTTTGTGGTTTTCCTCTCAAGATTTTGTTTCCTTCACCCAGTTTGGTTGTTTATCTAGGAGAAAAACTCTCTTCATTGAGTGATTTAGCTAATCTCCAGAGTTTCTTGTCATCTTTATCAATAGAATTGCAGTTTTATTTCTCCAGCTGTTCCGTTTTTCTTCAAAATTAGTTCTCTGGAACATTGTTATAGCCATTTTTTTCCAATTGATGTGGCTGTCGGGTGAAGGTTGCGATTCTGCATCCTTTCTAGCCTGGCTCATTGTTTCCTGACATTCCTGGAGTGTTTAGGACCAGTTAGTTCTGTGTGTTGTGTCGACATCAACTGGCGATTGCTTCTTTAGAAGCTTGACGAATACTTCTATTAAAATCGTGTGCTATAGCGTTGCTGTCCCTATTTTGTACCTTAAGAGCAGACAGTAACGCACTTGTCTTGTGTCTGTGCAGGCCCCAGCTGGCTTTCTTGTAGTTCCATCTTGAAAATAACAAAACCTGAGCGATCGTCACCCCCACCCCCAGTTGGTCGCCAAACTTCCTACTTATCCTTCCATATATATCTGGAGTAGAAAAGGCAAGTTCTGCGGTTGACGTTGTCTGCCACCTTCTGGACTAAAAGATAAGACTATTTAAGGGGGCACTGACCAGGATCAGAGATAGGTCATCTTGCCATGTTTCCACCTCTGTTGTCAAGATGGTTATAGCCCCAGCTCTGTGAATGACTGTTGAAGTCTCTAACTGCAAAACAGTTGGTATCTGGTACCGACACAGAGCTGAGACTTAACGGTTTGTCATTGGCTCAGTAACCAGATTGAACTCTTTTCAAAAAGTGATACAAGAGTAGTATACTAAAACTACTTAGATGCATCTTGGGTTTGAATCCGCATGGAGTCAGCTTTGCCTTTTAAAATAACATTGGCTACCAGGTTGATCAACCCAACCTAACATTAGAATAAGGTAATGTCATGTGGAGTAATTGCGGCCACATCACTCACCTAGTGCTGATTGTTATATAAAAAGATAAGCCTATATATGTCTGATGCGCCACTCACTGGTGTAAAAATGGTCCATCAAATTTTTTTGCCACCATATACATTACATACATACATTAAGCTTAGTTTCACATGCCCGGTAACAATGAAAAGAATAAAGGTTTTTTTTATGGCAGCGCACCTGCTATTGTTAATCTGTCTGTGACAGTTGTTTGGCTTTTGACGTTTATTTATTTGCAGTCAAATTTTCAGCGACTAGTTTCATACGTACAATCATGTCTTCTCCCCGTGTGGGTTTAGAGGCCCCATTTTAGGGGACAATAAGAATAGGCCAATTGCCCCCTTACATGCATGTCATAGGAGGCGACTAATTACAGATGTTTCCTTTGAAACTAGAGTGCATGTACCTGAGAAGCGAGGAACCAACAGTCTGCGTACCGATAAACGAAATCTGTAAAACGGATGTGCATACTAAACTCAAGTTCTGGAATAAGACCAAAGTCCAGAAGTGGATTAGGAACTAAAGCTTTCCGCTGGAGTTTACAGCCAGTAAGCGATAAGAAGACGAAAAAGAAGACCTGGTGTCGTCTTCGCGGTTTCTTTTACTGCTTTTGAAATGCAGTAAAGTGATCAAACGCTACTTTATCTACACAAAACCTGTAATAAGTTTGTATTGTTAAGGTGTCACTTGAAAAAAAAAATATTAATCGCTTCACGTGTTAGCAGGAAAGATAGTCTGGCCTTGAGTGTTGTTTCAAAGAAGCTGTCAACACGGAGAGACAACAAACAATACAGCATTTTACCACAAACAATACTCATATAACAGGTCCTGTACCCAACCCTGCTCCCGTTATGACCCAAGGAAAAGAATCAATTCTTTGTTAGTTTCAAGCAACTGAAAAGGACCTTTTTCCACACCTTCATGCGTATTGGGCATATAGGCCTATATTTTATAGACCAATCGGCTCTCGGCGGATGATGGGGTCAACACCACGCCGGTCGCCTTTACTTCCGAGAACTGTATCTGGTACCCACTTGAGCCCGGCTCTCTAGCGTAGTTGGCTAAACCAGATTGCGCGGAGACCGGGTGACGAACTCCTTGTGGTTCGGGTTCAATCCCGGGGGTAGGCAGGAAAACCACATTTCTCCCAGATTTACGGTATTTACAATGGAATCAAGGCCGAAAGGTTGCGATATCCATAATACTGAGCCTAAGGGTTTACAACTCATGGCTTCTGGATACTAAAACAAACAATTTTTTTTATACGTTTATTGGTTGAAAACATGGTTTACAATATTTCATTTACATTAACAAAAGCAAAAAAAAATAAATAAAAATAAAATGGTAAAAAATTATGACGTGGTACATATAATCCACCATAATTTGGTGAGAGTAGAACAAAGCAGGAGATAGAAAATGACAGGGGGTAAGGAAAGGAGGGGTCATTCATAATTATTTGTTGGTGGTGGTAGCCTGTTATGATGGTGGTGATCATTATAGGGTTACATCATATATATATTTTTTACAGAATTTATAAAAACAGATTAAGGGCGGTGAAAATAATACATATTCACACTGGCCTCACATCTCACCAGCATTTGACAGGGAAGGAGAAAGGGAGGAAGAAAAGGACTGGGGAGGGCAGGAGGAAAGGTGGGGGACCATTCATTTTTGATGCAGAAGTGATATGTGTGGGTTTTTTCTTTCAATTTTAATCGTTGCAGTCTGGAAGCCAAGGTCTTTTAAAAAAAGATTTGATCCTATAAGGACCCGCGCCCATTACTTTCCGATCCGCAGGCGAGCTTCTAGCCATGACACCGATGTCCCCCCCCCCCCCCCCACCTGCCTCTCACAGCAATTGCAAGAGGGTTGATATTTAAGAGATATTGTTTAGTGATGAGCGCACAAGGCCTTTGTGCCAAGTAAGGCAGACATAATCCTAAGTTTGCCACTGAGGTTTAATGTGTCCAGTTTAAGCGACCAGTTTCAAATGTAAGCACACTTTCTTCTCGCCGTGTGGGTTCAGGGGGGCACCAATTTAAGGATAATAATAGACACATTGCCCCCTAACAGTTTCCGAGAGAAGTGCAGTTTTGTGAGCCAGTTTTGTTCATAGTTCGAATTTTGTAGAATGTCAGTTTTGTTCTCAAAATCTTATTTCATTTGATTCTGAGAATTTGTCAGCAATATTGAAGCTCATAATTCTCGGTTTGGTGGTTATAATTATATTACATAACTTCTTTTTTTTTTTGGAAAGTGCGTCACTCCTTGCTACTTACTTAAAGGGTCACTATTTTTATCTTTTGCATTAATTTGCACAAGGTTTGGTGCCTATAGACCGATTTCCTACTAGACAAAGGGCCCTTGCTACTTACTGGTAGATTTTCTGCCCTA